TTTATGTCAATATGTAAGTCTTGAAAAGGGGCAAGAGTACCTAGGTACCTACTCAAGTTCGTCATGTCTGACAGCCCTAGGTCACCAAGCCAAGCCACACTGCCACGCAACGTAAATGCAGGTCCACCAAACCTGACCAATGAATGCATCTCAAGACTGCAGCTAGCTGTACCTACGTATCCTGCATCGCCACATTATACACCTAGCTCCAAAGCTCCAAGCCACACAGCTCGACCTGAACCTGATGCACATCAGGACAAAAAGACCACTTTCACTACCTAGGTAGAGACCTATAAAGCCATCACTCTAGTATATGCGGAATCTCAGATCTATCTCTTCTTACATCTTATCCGTGACAGTCCTCGTAACCGCCATCCTCCTTACGCACTTCTACCCCTCCCTGTTCCCATCCCTCCTCTCTCTAAGACCTCTCACCATCGTAACCCGTCTTATCCCCGACCTCTTCACCTCCAAACCACAGACCACGGCAAACATGGGAGGCGGCCCGGCAGAGCAGTACCGCACGGTGGCGTACTTCGTCAACTGGGCCATCTACGGGCGCAAGCACCGGCCGCAGGACCTGCCCGCCGACAAGCTGACCCACGTGCTATACGCATTCGCCAACGTGCGCCCCGAGTCCGGCGAGGTGTACCTGACGGACACCTGGGCCGACACCGACATCCACTGGGAGGGCGACAGCTGGAACGACAGCGGCACCAACCTGTACGGCTGCCTCAAGCAGCTCAACCTGCTGAAACGGAAGAACCGCCACTTGAAAGTCCTGCTGTCGGTCGGCGGCTGGACGTACAGCTCCAACTTCAAGCAGCCGGCCTCGACGCCCCAAGGCCGCGCTACCTTCGCGAACTCGTGCGTCGAGCTGATCAAGAACCTGGGCTTCGACGGCATCGACGTCGACTGGGAGTACCCGCAGACCAGCAGCGAAGCCTCCGACTTCGTGGCGCTGCTACGCGCAGTGCGCGAGGCCATGGACGCGTACAGCCAGACGCTAGGCACGCCGTACCACTTCGAGCTGACGGTAGCGTGCCCGGCGGGCGCGCAGAACTACTCCAAGCTGGACATAGCGGCCATGGACCAGGTGCTCGACTTCTGGAACCTGATGGCGTACGACTACGCGGGGTCGTGGGACTCGGTGGCGGGGCACCAGGCCAACCTGTTCCCCAGCGCGGGCAACCCGCGCGCCACGCCCTTCAGCACTGCCGCGGCGCTGGACCACTACACGTCGCAGGGCGTGGCGCCCTCCAAGCTGGTGGTCGGGATGCCGTTGTACGGGCGCGCGTTCCAGGGCACGGACGGGCCGGGCGCGGCGTACAGTGGCGTGGGCGAGGGGACGTGGGAGGCCGGCGTGCACGACTACAAGGCGCTGCCGCTGGCGGGGGCCGCGGAACACGTCGACCACGACGTGGGCGCGAGCTACTGCTACAGCCCCGGGGCGCGGACGCTGGTCAGCTACGACACGGCGGAGATGGCGCGGTTAAAGGCGCGGTACTTGCGCGAGCGGCGCCTGGGCGGCGCCATGTGGTGGGAGAGCAGCGCTGACAAGGACGGCCCCGAGAGCTTGATCGCCAACGTGGTGGACGTGCTGGGCGGGCCCGGCGCCCTGGACCACACGCGGAATTGTGTCGAGTATCCGCATACCAAATACGAGAATCTCAAGGCTGGATTCCCTAATAACTAGGGAGGGATACAGAAAGAAACAGATAGGGTGGGAATGAAGGCAGGGAAAAAGGAATGGAAATATAATGGAACGGCTACATGAAATATGTCTAGATTGCTGTGATGATATCATGAAGTCTACTATGAACTTTTAATTCGGGTAGAATACGCGATACAATAGGCAGGCTCGCATATCAATAAAAACCCATATTGCTAATATATTGAATCCACGGATGGTGATTGTTAGCATAGCCTACTGCGGTGACTGAAGCCGTCAATCCAGGTATGAGACAGTCAAGCGGTAGATGGGGCTGAGCAAAAATTAGCAGAGGGTGCTCATTGGATTCTAGGATAATGGATAAAAGGGAAGATATTAGTAATTTACTCCTCGAGACGGAGCAGGTTTCCAATGTAAAGAGTGAAGAGAACGCAAATGAATCGCCTTCCATCATACTGGAAGGCTACAAGCCAGCATATTTCATGACAGCTAGTAGCATGTGAATCAACGTATTTCAAGGATAGCTGAAAGCGTCACATAATTAGGATAGCATGGTTTGTTTATGGATTTGTATTCATAGGGATTGAGCCAAGTCGGCTATGCTATGCCATCATCACTTCATGACCCCCATTCCCGTATTCCGAATCCTTAACGTGCACTCCAGGTCGATCCGACAAGAGTTTACTGCTTATCGAAGACGTAGGTGAGGTGGCATCGGCCACAGTACTGTCGGTCCTGCATGGCGGCCATGAAGACACCGGCACCACACTGTTGGAATAACATTAGCATCTCGCCAGTAGTTAAATATGGGAATTGGGTAGCTTACGGTGTCAGCTGGGCACTCGCGGCGGAGACGCTCGATCTTGCCATCACCATCGACCTTGTAGTACTTGAGGACGGCCAGCTTGGTCTTCTTGCGCTTGTGCTTGATCTTCTTGGGGGTGCTGTAGACCTTCTTCTTGCGCTTCTTGGCACCACCACGAAGGCGGAGGACGAGGTGAAGGGTGGATTCCTTCTGGATGTTGTAGTCGGATAGGGTTCGTCCGTCCTCGAGTTGCTTGCCAGCGAAGATCAGTCGCTGCTGGTCGGGGGGGATCCCTTCCTTGTCCTGGATCTTGGACTTGACATTGTCGATAGTGTCGCTCGACTCCACCTCGAGGGTGATAGTCTTGCCCGTGAGGGTCTTGACGAAGATCTGCATGATTGCCTGTGGTGGGGATCAGTGTTAGAGTGGGTTGTCTGGTAAATATGGAGGAATCAAGACGGTCAGGTTAAAGTGTAGATGGTGTTAGAAGGTGGAGGTGTGAAGGCATTCACGACGTGTGGGAATCGGTCGCAGCACCGCAATGCGATCAATCGTAATCGTCGCATTGTAGTGAAGGGGATAGAGCATGATGATAGATGCACAGATGGGATATCCGCAACATCGTGTAGACGTACCTAGACAATAATACTATTGCCGTCCTAAGCAACCCTGGAGATGTGTGGTTTGTGGAAGGGAAGAAAAGTTAGAGGGGAGAGGGAGCGCGAAAAGTTAAAGATGAAAGGTACGACAGTGGGTCCCTTGCACAACTCGGTAAATTGAGCTAAGCTTGCCAGAAAAGGATCACGTGTTAGGGTTTTCGCGCCCACTTGCCCTGCAGCCCTTCGCACTGGCAGTTGCCAACTGTGCCCCTCCTAACCCAGTCTGCCTTCTCATTGGATCATTCATTTTCTTGTGCTGTGGGGTCCACTAGACTTTCTGATCCTGACCTCAACTGCACTAAACAAACTTCCACACACCAATTTCAACCCTCATTTCACCAACCCTCCAACCACTTTCTCTCCAACCACTAACCATCACCCACAACCTGTAAGTGCGAACCTCGTCTCTTCAACAGAAATCCTATCACTTCCAGCCAAATTACCAAGTCTAATACCTGAGAAAACAGAACACCGCGATCATGGTCAAGAAGAGAAAGAACAACGGCCGCAACAAGAAGGGCCGCGGTCACGTCAAGCCCATCCGCTGCAGCAACTGCTCGCGATGCACTCCCAAGGACAAGGCGATCAAGCGTTTCACCATCCGCAACATGGTCGAGTCTGCCGCCATCCGTATGTTTTCTTCCCCCCTCCTTCTATCCCTTGTATTGGTATGCTAACAAGAATTTACAAACAGGTGATATCTCGGACGCCTCCGTCTTCTCCGAGTACACGGTTCCCAAGATGTACCTCAAGCTGCAGTACTGTGTCTCTTGCGCCATCCACGGCAAGATTGTCCGGTACGTCGATCCCTTCGGGAGTACGACTACGCGCTCGTCTTCAGGGCAGCGTATGCGCCTGAGATGAGCCTTGGTTGAACCTCGAATTCCCCTCCCCAATCAATCGAACTATACCGGCTAACATAATTCTCTCTAGTGTCCGATCGCGCGAGGGTCGCCGTAACAGGGCTCCCCCGCCTCGTGTTCGGTACAACAAGGATGGCAAGAAGGTGACTCCCACTCAGACTGCCAAGGCCACTTAAGTGCTTCGTTTTCGGGCGTCTGTATTAAGGGAATGACACGGGTCTGGGAAGAGGTCTGGTCCTCGGAAATGGGTTTCGCTTGCATGAAGCACGGGTTTCGGCATGATCATCTCAGATAATGACTTCAATGAATCGAGTCATATTTGCCACGACGTAAACAATTATTCTCTCCTTTGCCTTGAGTGATAATTATTCCTCGCAACTACTTGCCTCTCTTCACGACTGCTAGTTGAGAGCCAGAGGTATCTACCAAATACAGACAGGCCATAGCCTTAGACAACTTGTCTGTCTGATATTAAACTACTAGGGCGCTCAATGACACCGACTTCTGATCCAGACCTCATAATATCTCAGCGAACTAATCGAAGAGCTTAGTTCCTATACACAGTTCGAGCCCGCCCACACTTTAGGCCATTCTCAATGAGCTGGTGTGTATCCCGGGTGCCTCAGAATTCTTGCGCCTCTTGTTTCGCGCCACTACCAACATGACCATAGCAAAGCGACATTACGGCATACGATTTGCGTTAGTGCGTAGAGCATTTGAATTGCCATATTTATTGAAATATAATCGCTGATATTCTAGGTATGATATCGTAGAGCTATTGGTACCTAGGTACATAGAGTTAATTCAATGAGGAAGTCGCGGTGTTCAATCACGAAGAATCCAGTGCGGTACCTTCCTTACGACATCTCGGGCAGTGGCGCCGGACTGTTCTACGCGAGTGCCCCACAAATTGGACTGGACGGGAACTGAACAAAAAGAGAATCAAGAACAGATAGCAGAGAGCTTCAACCGTTGTTATGGTTGGATGGAAGAGCAAAAACTGGACAATCGGGGAATTGAACCCCGGACCTTCAGCATACACTAGAATAGAGTGCGAAGCAGACGTCATACCCCTAGACCAATTGCCCATATTTCCGGCGGCACTGGGTTCTAAACCAATTGCCTCGTTGATGTTTCGCGTCGATTTGTGACCTTATATATCTAGTTTAGCCTGAGTTAGGTAATATTGGTGCGGAGACTGCTGTAGACTAACGGGGTTAGTTAGCACCGGATGGACCAATGGCGTGTACGCACGGCGCCTAGAAAGGAAGCACGGTAACACTTATATAGGAGCGTTAGGACGTGAATAGGGGGGATTCGATCTCTTGTCTGGGGCTGGTTTGAGAATAAACGAAGACGTATGTAATCCGAGAAAGTCTACGGAATATAGGGCCAAGCTAGTCATATCTTCGTGGATGTGTCCATAGGGCGGTTCATTGCGTCTCTGATGTTCTATCATGATGACTCCTCCCGTCAATCGGCATCGTAAGATCACCCCTTATAATATTCTCTACAGCTAACATCGACGTTGAAAAAGGCTACATTGAGCCTAGGCTATATAAATCAGGAGAGGAACCTTTGCCGTTTCTAATAAGATGCTTCTGCATAGAAGCGTGGGCAGCGAATACGATGTCAACCTACATTGAAGCATCTATAAGAGCAGATACATCTGTGTGGAGTTGCTGAGGATTCTGGAGTAAATCCTAGGTCAATGACGATTATTCCAACATTCATCTTAAATGAATTAAAATCTAATATAAACTTCAATAATATGAACTGCCTTCAGAATGTACTTGATGGGATGTCTCCGAGGTTCCTCACATGTCTATGATCAATTGGACTCACTTAACAAAGTAGCCAGAAATGAGTCTCATCATACTTACCCCCTAGGGACCGAAAAGGTTTGACATCTCGTCTAACCAATATCCAAACATTACGCAAGTATAGTCAAACCGTACATTCACAGTCAAGACTACAGGCACGCGAGGGCACATTCTCAACAATTAAATGGATCAGTAGATGATGAAACCAGTATAAGAAGACGAACCAACGCCAGTATATATTCATTCCAAATAGACCTCGCCTGCTAAAGCCCATACTTGGATATTCATGTCATTACACCGTAGGGCCTCCGTATCATCAATCCCAGCGCGCATGACCCTGCACCATCCATCATCCCAGATATCATAACCTAATCAATCAGCGCCGCGCCAATCATTACACATTCCGCAGTAACACCTCGCGATCACCATCATCACAAAGCCATAGTCTGCCCGCCAAAGTGTTGTTGCTGTTGCTGATGATGCGCCCTCGGGACCGGGCCCCGCGCGATGAAGTCGCGGTTCTCGATCGTCACGCTCTTGGTCATGTGGTTGACCTTGTAGACGCCCACCAGGCGGGCGGCGAGCTCGAACATGTTGTTGCGCAGCGAGATGACGACGAACTGCGCGTTCTTGGTGCGCTCCTTGATGTAGTTGGCCACGATCGACACCTTTATCCTCTCGTTAGCAACACGTATACGTAATATAACATATAATGCATGATATTTGAAACATCGGCATAAAAAGAGAAGGGAGATGCGGAAAATACTCACATTTCTGAAATCTAGCGCTGCGTCGATCTCGTCCATGACGTACAGCGGAGTCGGTTTGTAGTGGTGCAGCGCGAACACCAGCGCCAGACTAGAAAGCGTCTTCTCGCCACCGCTAAGGTTGCTGATGTTCTTCCAGCTCTTCTTGGGCGGCATGACGGAGAACAAGATGCCCTCGCTGAAGGGGTCCAGACTGTCCACGAGTTCCAGCTCGGCGTTGCCCCCCATCGTGATCATCTGGTACATCTCCTTTAGCCGCAGGGAGATGGTACTGAAGCCCTCCATGAAACCCTCGAGCCGGAGCCGCCGCAGGTCGTCGCACCGCTTCTTGGCGGAGTCGCGCTGCTGGACCGCGCTAGCCAGATCAGAGGACCGGGCTGCGTGCTCTTCGACTCGGCGCCGATACTCCGACAAGACGCTGACATCCACGTTGACGTTCTGATTCTTCTCTTCGAGAGCGGCGATCTCGGCTTTTAGGGTATCCTTATCCATATCCTGGAGCTCATCGTCTGTAAATCGCGGAAGTTCTTCGGGTTGTTGTTCCTCTTGTTGTTCCTCTTCGGCCTCTTCGGTTTCTTCTTGACCCTCCTCTTCGGCTAACTTCTTGGCCGATGGCGGGCCACTGAGATCGCTGACGTTCTGGAGAACAAGCTTATCCAACTTCTCGTCCCAGTAGCGCAGGCGCTTCTGGTTCTCGGCGAGTACTTTCTGGTTCTCTTCTAGCTTATTACGCATCTCGATCTCGACCGCTCGGGTCTCGTTCAGCTCTGACGCCTTTTCATCCAATTCGGCCTTCAAAGCTGACAATTCCTTTTTCTTGTCTGCGAGTTCCGCCTCGGCCTCCTCAACACGAGCGTTTAAGGATTCCGACTTGCTTCCTTGGTTCTCGACTTCTTCTTCGAGATTCTCAAGGTCACGTATCGCAACCTCTAGCTCCTTGGTGGCTTTGGCGTGGTCCTTTTCGAGCTTTGTCTTTGACTTCTCTGCCTTCGCTTTCTTGACCTCGGCGTTCGACGTCTCCTCGTTGTGAGAGGATATCTCCTCCTTGATAGCATCAACCTTTGCGCGCTGAGCACGAAGCTTTTCGCCACCAATTTCCATAATCTTGTCCTGCAGTTCCTTGATCTCTGCTTCCACGCCCTCGGTTTCAGCATGGAGTTTCGAAACCTCTTTGTTCAACTTCGCAATCTCTTTTTGCAGAACCGCTACTCTGTTGTCGTCAGACTGCGACGGTTGATGTTCCTTGCTCAGCTCCTTCACGCGTCGTTGGGAATCCACAAGGTTTTTCTCAGCACTTTGAATCTCCAAGCCGATCTTCTGCATCTTGGTGTCTAACTGAGGGATTTGGTCTTTCAGGTACCTGAGCCGAGACTCTAGCTCTCGTTGGTGGTCTTGGAATTCCTGGAACTGCTGCTCGATAGAATCGCGATCACTTTCAAGCTTGGTGACTTGCTCCTTAGACGTATCAGCCACGAGCTTGCTTGACATCAACCCCCTCTTAACGGTGCTTCCACCTCCAGACATGGTACCGCTCTTGTCAATGAGCTCTCCATCAAGCGTGACAACTCGCCATCTCCTGGCACCGTAAGCAATCCGGTTCGCCTGAGCTAAGTCTTTAGCGACCAAAGTGTCCTGTAATGCGTGGTAGAAAGCGGGTCGGAATTTATCTTCTTTGGCATTGATCAAGTCGAACAACCGGGGCGCATTCTCGGGGGTCTGAATTGGCTGCATATCGCGCACACGCAGCTTATCTAAACATATGAAGTTTCCTCGCCCAAGGTTGGTCTTGCGAAGGTACTCGATGCATTGCTGGCCGGCCTCGACGGTATCAGTGACGAAGTTATCGAGAGAAGGGCATGCTGTAGAGATAGCAACATCGTATTTCTCATCGATCATGCCGAGATTTCCAAGGCGGCCATGGAAACCGTCGATCCGTCCAGACTCCTTCATCCGCATCAGCGCCGTAAGTACGTTGCCTCGGTTTTGGTTCTGCGAAAGGCTAGATCGTGCTTCTTCTGCCTTTTGTCTAGCATTCGATACTTTGGCGCGAGCCTTAGGCTCCATATGGGCTAGGCTTTCGAGATCTGCCTCGACTTTCTTTGCTTCCTTCTCTAGTTTCGCCTTCTCGGCCTGGCATTCCTTCAGCTCAGCAAGTTTAGCAACGCGACCTTCTTCGATATTGGCAATCTTGGTCTGCATCTCTTCAAAGGCAACTGCGCCGGCGTTGGCCTTCTCTTCGAGGATAGCCATCTCGGATTCCGCGACAGCAATTGCAGACTGTTTCTGATTGATCTTCTCCTTCCAGGGTTCTAGAGACTTTTGCTTGATGGCAATCTGGTCCGAGAACACTTGTGTCTTCCCTTTCAGGCTGTCTCGGATCGTTGCAAGTTCAGCCTCCTCCTCCTGTACACTTTGCTCAAGGGCGGCGATCTCCTCGGCTCGCGAAGCTATCTCCTCGGTGCATTGCTCAATGGTCTCTTCAGCTTCGGCTGTGGAGTTCTCAGCGTTGGCAATTGTCTTTTCGAGCTTCTTCTGTTTGTCGGACAAGAATTTCCGTTTCTCGTCAAACTTGACCCTCTCTTGCTCGAACTTGGCAGCCTCCTTGACGAGGGATTGGACGTTCTTCTCTTGAGATTCAAACTCCTTGGATCCCTTGGCATATGCCTTTTGTAATTGTTTGATGACCTGCTCGCTGCCCTGGTGCTTCTCGAGCTCGGCATCAAGTTGGGACTGCATCTGGCTGATCGCCTCTTCGGTAACTCCGACATTATTGTTACATTCGCTAATGTAGAGTTGATAGAGTGCAGACTGCTTGAGAGTCAGGTCGTTTTCGTCCCGGATGTAGGCTAGAGCCTTGTTCTTTTTGTCTTCGAGACTGTTCCTCTCCTTTTCTACATGCTGAACACGTCCACTCTTCTCCATGCAGATTTCATTGAGGGTCTCTACTTCCGTAGCTGCCTCTTCAATCGGCATCTTGTACTTGGAGGTACCAATAATGTCTTCTAGATATTCCAGAAGGCCATCTTCGTGTTCATTAGCGGCCTTTGCTTTCATCTGAGCGATCGACTCGACTTCGCCCTGCAAGATGAGGAAACGCTTGTGGTCGAGATCAATCCCTCGGTCACGGAGAAGAGTAGTCACGGTAGTAAAATTGGACTCGCTACCATTGATGTAGTATTTGCTAGAGTTGTTCTTGAATGCCTTTCTCGAGATGACAATTTGGGAGTTAGGGATAATTTCAGTTCCACCGCCGGGCTATAGATAGTCAGCTCGTTGTCTTCATGGATTTCTGTATCGTGTAACTAACTAGGTCCATGACCTCCTGGAAGTGAACTGCGACTTCGCAGTGATCCAGGTTCGGGTGAGCGGCAGAGTTGTGGATTAAGGCAGAGATTTTGCCTTGTCGCATCTTGCTCGCCCTAAATCCGAAGACGAAAAGAAGCGAATCGATAACATTCGATTTGCCAGAACCGTTAGGCCCAACGACCGAGGAGAAGG